TATTTCTACAAGAAATGCCGTTGGGATTTTGATTGGCATCGCATTAAACCTGTAGAGAACTTTGGGTAATATCGCCATTTTGATGATGTTAGTTCTGCCTATCCATGAACAGGGTACATTTTTCCATCTTCTAAGATCTTCTTCTATCTCTCTCTTTAGGGTTCTGTAGTTTCCATTGTATAAATCTTTCACCTCTTTTGTTAGGTTGATTCCCAAGTATCTTATTTTCTTTGAGGATATTGTGAATGGAGTGGTTTTCCTCATTTCCATTTCAGAAGTTTTGTTGCTGATATACAGGAATGCCTTTGATTTATGCGTGTTGATTTTATATCCTGCCACTTTGCTGAATTCATTTATTAACTCTAGCAGTTTCTTTGTAGACCCTTTTGGGTCTGTTAAATATATGATCATGTCATCCGCAAATAGCGATAATTTAAGTTCTTCTTTTCCTATTTTTATGCCTTTAATTTCTTTTGTCTGTCTAATTGCTCTGGCTAGTATTTCAAGAACTAAATTGAATAGAAGTGGTGATAGAGGGCATCCCTGTCTTGTTCCAGATTTTAGAGGGAATGCCTTCAGTTTTTCTCCATTTAGGATGATGCTAGCCTGAGGTTTAGCATATATAGCTTTTACCATGTTGAGGTAAGTTCCTGTTATCCCTAGTTTTTCTAGTGTTTTGAACATAAAGGGATGCTGTACTTTGTCAAATGCTTTTTCTGCATCTATCGAGATGATCATATGGTTCTTGTCTTTAAGTCTATTGATGTGGTGAATAACATTTATTGATTTCCATATATTGAACCAGCCTTGCATCCCAGGGATGAATCCTACTTGATCATGATGCACAATTTTTTTGATATGCTTTTGTATTCGATTCGCCAGGATTTTATTGAGAATTTTTGCATCCAATTTCATTAGAGATATTGGTCTGTAGTTTTCTTTCTTTGAAGTGTCTTTGTCTGGTTTCGGGATCAGGGTGATGTTGGCCTCATAGAATGAATTTGGAAGAACTCCTTCTTTTTCTATTTCTTGAAATAGCTTGAAAAGTATTGGTATTAATTCTTCTTTGAAGGTTTTGTAGAACTCTGCTGTATACCCATCCGGTCCAGGGCTTTTTTTGGTTGGCAGTCTTTTGATGGCTTCTTCTATTTCTTCCTTTGTTATTGCTCTGTTTAAATTGTGTGTGTCTTCCTGACTCAATCTGGGCAGATCGTATGACTTAAGAAATTTATCGATATCTTCATTATCTTCTATTTTATTGGAATATAGGGTTTCAAAATACTTTCTAATTATCTTCTGTATTTCTGTAGTGTCTGTTGTGATATTGCCTTTTTCATCCCTTATGTTAGTAATTTGAGTTCTCTCTCTTCTCTTCATTAGCATGGCTAAGGGCCTGTCGATCTTATTTATTTTTTCAAAGAACCAACTTTCAGTTTTTTCAATTTTTTCAATGGTTTTTTTTTTTGTTTCAATTTCGTTGATTTCTGCTCTAATTTTAATTATTTCTTGTCTTCTACTACATTTGCTGTTGTTTTTCTCTTCCTTTTCTAGGTTTTTGAGGTGTAGTGTGAGTTCCTTTATTTGTTGGTTTTTTCTTTTTTGAGGAAAGAACTCCAAGAAATGAATTTCCCTCTTAAAACTGCTTTCATTGTGTCCCATAGATTCCGGTATGTTGTGTCTGTATTGTCATTTGTCTCTAAGAACTTTTTTATCTCCTCCTTTATGTCTTCTGTAACCCATTGATCATTCAGTAACATATTGTTCATTTTCCATGTGATGTAGGATTTTTCCTTCCTTCTTTTATCATTGATTTCCAGTTTCATTCCATTATGATCAGATATGGTGCATGGTATTATCTCCACGCCTTTATATTTACTAAGAGTTGCCCTATGGCATAATATATGGTCTATCTTTGAGTAGGATCCATGTGCTGCTGAGAAGAACGTGTATCCACTTGATGATGGTTGATATATTCTATATATGTCAGTTAAGTCTAGGTTATTGATTGTGCTATTGAGTTCTATAGTTTCTTTATTCAGCTTTTGTCTAGAGGATCTGTCTCATGGCGAGAGCGGTGTGTTGAAGTCACCCATAATTATTGTGTTATAGTCTATTTGACTCTTGAACTTCAGGAGAGTTTGTTTTATGAACGTTGCAGCACCATTGTTTGGTGCATACAAATTGATAATTGTTATGTCTTGTTGGTGGATGGTTCCTTTTAACAGTATATAGTGTCCTTCTTTATCCCTTTTGATTAACTTAGGTTTGAAGTTGATTTTATTCGATATGAGTATGGCCACTCCTGCTTGCTTCCGAGGGCCATGTGAGTGGTATGATTTTTCCCAACCTTTTACCTTCAGCCTATGTAAGTCTTTTCCTATCATATGAGTCTCCTGAAGGCAGCATATTGTTGGATTTGTTTTTTTGATCCAGTTTACTAGCCTATGTCTCTTGATTGGTGAGTTTAGGCCATTAACATTTAAAGTTACAATTGAAATATGATTTGTACTTCTAGTCATGTTTATTTATTTATTTATTTTAGTTTGGCTAGTTTTTACTTTTTGGTTATTTTCCTCCCCCTTTACTGAGATACCTCCCGCTGTTAGTTTTGGGCACTATTTTTCAATTCCTCTTCTTGTAGTATTTTGCTCAAAATGCTTTGCAGTGTTGGTTTTCTGGCTGCGAATTCTTTTAGCTTTTGTTTATCATGGAAGATTTTAATTTCATTGTCAAATCTGAAGCTTAATTTTGCTCAATACAGTATTCTTGGTCCAAAAAATACTTAAAAAAAAAAAAAAGCTGGGGACAGTGGTGCATGCCTCTAATCCCAGAAACTTGAGAGGCTGAGGCAAGAGGGTTGCAAGTTTGAGGCCAGCCTCAGCAACTCAGTGAGACCCCAAGCAATTTAGAAAGACCCTGTTCTCTAAATAAATAGAATAAAGGTATTTAAAAAAAAATTCTATCATTGCTGGGTGAGGTAGTATACATCTGTACTCCCAAGTATCTTGGGAGGCTGCAGTAGGAGAATCACAAGTTTGAAGCCGGCCTCAACAACTTAGTGAAGCTTTCTAAGCAACTTAGCAAGACCCTGTCTCAAAGCAAAAAGGACTGGCGAGATAGCTCAGAGGTAAAGGGTAAAGTACCTCTGTGTTCAATCCCCAACACCCAAAAAACAAAACAAAACAAAAAGAGTCTAATACAAAGCATATTTTGTGACAAAGTGTTAATATCTCATGTACTTACTCAGATGGGCATCTGGGTTTGTTTGTTTGTTTTAATCCAGGAGCACTTTACCACTGCGCTACATCCCCAGCTTTTTTGTTTTGAGACAGGGTCTCACTAAGTTGCTTAGGGCCTTGCTAAGTCACTGAGGCTGGCTTTGAATTTTTTTAAAAAATATTTTTATTTTAGTTGTAGATGGACACACAATATCCTTTTTATTAATTTATTGTTGTTTTTTTTTTTTTTTTTTTTAATGTGGTGCTGAGCCTCAAACCCAGTGCTTCACACATGCAAGGCAAGCACTCTACCACTGAGCTATAGCCCCAGCCCCTGGCTTTGAATTTTTGATTCTCCCACCTCAGCTCCTGAGTCACCACACTTAGCAAGATGGGCATTTTATAAATATAACAGTATGCAAAAACACAAAATACAAAATCCAAAACGATGCTGACAGCACAGTACACCGCAGAAATCAGCTGTTACCCTCATATGACTGTAGCTGACTGGAAGTGGCAACTCGTTGCTATTGTCCAGTACCATGGAATATGTGGTACTGCATACTCTTAGCCAGTGAAAGAACAAAATTCAAAATCAGAAGTATTGAAAGTTGAACTACTTTCACATCATTGAAGAGTTGGAAAATCATTAAGTCAAACCATCGTAAGTTGGGGACTGTCTATATCTAGTCTCCCTCCTCTGTTCTCTGCTGGCCCCATGTGTCCTCTTCTCCCAGAAGGAATCAAAGTCCTTCTCAGTCGCTTCTCTTACATAATCATTAGACATACATTTTCAGGGATGAGACGCCCATTTAGATTGAAGAGGAAAGAAATTAAGGCTTTCCTGGGCAATATCTATTAAGTATATAAAAATATATGATGAAATAAGTTATCTTCTCTTTTTCTTTCTTTAAGCTATTTTGATATAAAAGTGGTAAGTAAAAAACCCACAAGAAAGAAAGATTTTCAGCAGCCAGGAGGCCATCAATTTGTCATACCAAAACTGAAAATGTTGGGACTGGGGTTGTGGCTAAGCGGTAGAGCGCTCGCCTCACACGCACGAGACCCTGGGTTCGATCCTCAGTACCACATAAAAATAAGTAAGTGAAATAAAGTTATTGTGTCCTACAACTAAAAAATAAATATTTTTTTAAAAACTGTAAATTTATATACAAAGCCCAGGCACATGAAGACTCTCCTATCATCCAAGAAGGCTCTGGGCACTCTGTGAACTCACAAGAACTTATATCAAACTATACATAATGCAGCCTTTTATAAAAGCAAAGATAAAAATAGTAGGAATATAAGAAAGTTAAAAAGCATTTTGGGGGATATGTAAGGAGAAAACAAAAGCATAAGAATCTGTAGAATTTAGGAAGGTACCAAAGACAAGACAGGGAAGAGGTTAGGGAAGCATAGCTTCTCCTGTTGGCCTTCATGAGAATCTCCACACGGCCCAGTGTTCAGTGTTCCTAATACAGCTTCAGCTGAAGAGTCAGCCATGTAGCCCCAGTCAAAAATGAAAGGTGACAGATTAGGCTCTTATGCTGCAGAATAAAAATTGTTTCCAAGCAGACTGATATTACTGTTGATAGTCTACCCAGGCCCACTCCAAGATGCAGTTCAAGAGTGCCAACAAGAATAGGGCTGGGGGTGCAGCTCAGTGGTTCAGAGCTTGCCTAGGGCATCCAAGGGTGAGGTTCTGGGTTCAATCCCCAGCACCAGGGGAAAGGGGGACAATAAATGCAAATCTAATAAAGGTACCTCTAAACAAGTACATACCTGTTCTAGGCCATAAGGCATTGACTGCAATTTCACCTCTAAATTCTTCTGCCATTCCAAGTACACACATAGACATACCATATTTAGCAATGGTATAAGCTGCAAACAAACCACAAATAATAATAATGTAATTCAGAAACAAATTAATTTGTGAGTATACATAACCAAATTATTTCTGTTACTATTTTCTCTCTGAAAGATTGATCTATCTCCATCCCCCCACTACCCCAGTACTACTGGGGACCTTGTGCATACTAGGCTAGCATTCTACCACTGAACTATATTCCATAACTCCCTGATATATTTTTGAGAATTTTTTTCAATAATATTAAAAGATACAAAATACAGTTTTTAATGTGCTAAGCTTTGAATAACAGTTTTTATGGAACTAGTTGAGCAGAGATGAACCCGTTTTAAATATTTCCATCCTAATATTTGATTAAAAGAAAAGATGAATAAACTTTTGTTTTTCTTAATATTATAGGAATAAATTGCATTACTACTTCTTAATTTGTTTTTTTTTTCTTTTTAAAAAACAAAGGTGATTATTATTTTTTAAATATTTTTTTTAGTTATTGATGGACCTTTATTTTATTCATTTATTTATATGTGGTGCTGAGAATTGAACCCAGAGCCTCACACATGTGGGACAAGCGCTCTACCACTGAGCCACAACCCCAACCCCAAAGGTGATTATTTAAAGAGAAACCACAAACCATTAAACAAGAACATGAGCTGGGGGTATGGCCCAGTAGTTGAGTATGTACTTAGTACATGAAAGGCCCCAGGTTTGATCTTCAGTACCACAAAAAATAAATATTAATAACAACAAAAAGTTGCAAATTCACTTAATCGATTAAAGCAGAACTTCTTTTGTTTTGTTTTAGGGGTTCCCATTCCAAGTGCCTTTCCAAATGTTAGTGAATTCTACTGCAACATGAACCAAGTATTTGACATAATGATCTTAAAACAGGCACATACTATACATAAATCTTGTTACTTAGCATATTCACCTAAAATCATTAAATCAACTTTATCTATCTATCTATCTATCTATCTATCTATCTATCTATCTATCTGCAGTACTAGGGATTGAGCCCAGAGGTGCTTTACCACTGAACTACATCCCCAGCCCTTTTAATTTTTTATCTTGATATATAAATTCTCACTGAGCTGCCCAGGCTCACTTTGAACTTGTGATCCTCCTGCCTCAGCCTCCCAGGTCACTAGTCTTACAGGCATGCATCACCATGTCCAGTGATTAATAAAAAATTGTTGAGAGCCATTGCCAAGTAGGTATGACGCATAGCATGACCCAGGTCATTTGCAGTGACATTGCATGAAAGGTGACCTTGCTCAAGGACCAGGGCGGATCCAGGTTTAGGGTGTATCCTGTTGGGATTAGGGAGTATCCCGCTCCTTGGGTTTAGGGTGGTTCCAGGTTTAAGGTGTACCCTGCTGGGAATAGGGCATATCCTGCTGCCTCAGGCGCGCCCGCTCCTTGAGTTCCCCGCTCCTTGAGTTCCCATTGAGTTCTCGCGGAATTCAGAGAGTATTTGGGATTCAGAGCCCGGTGGAGTGGAAGTGTGGATTTTGCCCAGAACGTGCATGTAGAGTGCCGGGGTGACAGTTCGGGAATAAAGAATTGCTGTTTGAATCTACAAGGCTGTGAGTGGCTCGTGATTTTGTGCCCAGCCAGAGTGTGGCAAAAAATCTTAAAACTATACCTTTATTTTTGTGTATTTAATCAACTTATTAAAGGAAAAATTACATACAGTAAAACATACCCACTGGGATGTGAAAGAGTTTCCTGGGATAATAAAAATCCATATGTTGGGCTGGGGTTGTAGCTCAGTGGTTCAGTGTTTGCCTAGCAAGTGTAAGGCACTGGGTTCGATCCTCAGCACCACATAAAAATAAATAAATAAAATAAAGGTATTGTGTCCATCTACAACTAAAAATATAAAACAACAACAAAAAAAAAGAAATCCATATCTTGATTTGGGTAATGGTTATACAGGTATATACATAATCAAAACTCACTGAACCACTAAGATCTGTGCACTTTCTTGAATGTATGTTATACTTCAATTTTTTAAATTATAAATTTCTAACATTATAGATAAATTATTACTAATCTACTTTCCAAAATGCTACCTATTGATTTGGGACAGAAAATTTACCACTGAGTACTATGTACAGGTTATGATTACATAATAAACACACTGACTTAATTCAAAACAAATCAGTAAACCATCCCCTGACCCTACTACCTACCACAGTGCTGTTTGAACCACATTGGATTTAGGTTCAGTGGTGGACTGAGATTGAGGATATGAGCAATTTTACTCTTTTTCAAAAAGGGAATACATGCTTTAGATCTGGAAAGTAGAAGCAAACACAAGTCAAGTTAATCGCTTTCTCACAACTTCTGCACTTTTTAGAGAAACTCAACTTGCTTAGTTTTCTATAGTTTTCTAGAAAGAAGATAGAAAAGCAACTAATTTTCATGCTTTGAAACTTTACTGAATAGCCTGAGTACATAATCTGCTTGACGAAAAAAAAATCTTTGATACATTAGTTTTATGTCCAGCTAAGATTATCCTCAACCCCAACTGTGCTAAATTCTCCCTCCCCAGCACACACACTTTTACAGAAACAGTTAATGTACTTTTCAGTTGCCACTGTAGTAAAGAACATGGGTATTCAGCTGGGTGTATAATCCCAGCTACTCTGGAGGCTAAAATAAAAGGATTACAAACTCAAGGCCAGCCTCAGCAATTTAGCAAGACCTTGTCTCAAGATTAACAATAAAAAGGGCTGGGGGGAAAACTCAAGTTTAAAAAAGAAGAAACAACAACATGGGTGTTGCTCAAGTCAGACGGTCCTGGGTTCAAATTCTGCTTCTGCCCCTTCCCAAATGACATAGCATTCTAATTTTTTTCCCCAAGGGGCACTCTACCACTGAGCCACATCCCCAGCCTTTTTTTGTATTTTATTTAGAGACAGAGTCTCACTGAGTTGCCTAGTGCCTTGCTTTTTGCTGAGGCTGGCTTTGAACTCATGATCATCCTGCCTCAGTCTCCTGAGCCTCTAGGATTACAGGCATGGGCCACCACACCCAGGATATTCTAATTTTTAGTTTTCCTCTATAAATGTTGGTAACACCCACCACAGTCATGACAATCTGGAACTGAACAAAGGATTAAACTTTAAGTAGTAAGTTACAATTGAAAGGACACTCACAGAGTCCACGCAAAGTCCAAAGACTAAGCCTCATACCAGAATCTCACAAGAGATTTACTGTCAGTAGCACAAGGCAAACCAACAACGCTGTCCCTCCAAGGAGAGCAACAGCATGTCGGCCCTCACAGAGCAGCTTTATAGCCCGCAAGAGGAATTTCATAAGCTGCTTTATAGCCCGCAAGAGGAATTTCTTAAGTTGCATCATAAGCTGGGGTGGGGTTGACTGTTTAGCAGGCGCATGTTAAGCAGCATTGCCCCAGAATCAAAACTTTGGAACCTCTAGATAAAATGGTTCCTGACCTAAAATGGCAAATCTGATGCCAATATTGATCTGATGCCAGTAAAATCATCTTATAGCTAAACAATATATTAAGCTTAATTATTATATAGCTTTATTTCATATTCAAGTCACGCTATATTTTCAAACCTGGTCCATTCTTCTTCCAAGTCGTTTTAAAAAAAAAAACTTCTAAATGTTCGAAATGTACAATACTCTTATTCCCAACTGCAACATCTTGTTAAATTTACAAACCAAATACAATCAACATGACTAAAGGGTTTTGTTAGGCCGGTTTGAGGTGCCTAAGGGGATAAAGCACCAGGCAACCTGTGGGCCAGAAAGAACAACCAATCAGGCACCGACAGATAGGCAGTGATGGTGCCTCATAACCACCTGTAAATTGGCGGGGTCTCTTGACCAATCCTGGAAGGACACAGATCCCCCAACCAACCCCAGGAGGACAAGCGACTCTAAAAACCTCCCTTTCCTGTCTCAAGCCCTCCCTTCCTGCCCTAAGCCCAATAAAATTCCAATCTGGCTGAGCCTGGGCAAGACTCTCTGAGACCCGCTCTGTTGGACTGGCGGGTCTCATCAGGGATCGAATCTCAATAAAGCCTTGTTCAGCAGCTTTTAATCTGCCTCCTTTTGATCACTGGTGCCTGACGTTACAGGTTTTTGTACATACGGTTTTTTATTTCATTTATTCTTCTTTTGTGTGTGTGTGTGTGGTACTAGGGATTGATCCCAGGGCCACAAGCTAGGCAAGTGCTCTACCACTGAGCTACATCCCCAGTCCCCATTTTTTGTTATTGTTATTTTTTTTTTTTTTAGACAGGGTCTTACTAAGTAGCTGAGTGAAGCCATGAACTTGCAATCCTCCTGCCTCAGCCTCCCAAGAAGCTGGCATTAATAGGCATAAGGTACTTCACTTTTATGGGGTAAAGTGAGGAGGGGGAAAGAATATTATACCCTATTTTCATCAAATCATCAATAGAAACCAACTAAATCTATTCCAGACTATATCTTATACTCACAGGAAAGAATGCATTTCATTTACACTGTAAACATGAGCTTTCCCTTGATCTGTGAGACAAAACCTTTCCATCTTCCCCTTGCAGGCCTGGCACTTATTAGCATTAATCCTGTATCAAGTACATTTTTCACATCAACAAGCCCTGTCTTTTATATTATATGAAATCTCTTAGAACCACACTTACAATACTACTATCTTCAGCTTAATAAAATAGTAAAATGTATCTGCTAGCTTAAAACTATATTGCTAATTCAGTTCACATCAGTTTGTGACGAGGTAAATTCTTTGAGAAAACACTGTGACTCTCCCCCCACAACTTTTCCTTGTGACTCACGTGAGGTAGGTGCCTCTGGTGTTCACACTCATCATCAAGTCCACTCTCTTTGTAGGTGTTTCCAATGTGTTGGTCAAGCTAATAGCACTGGCATTATTCACCAAAATGTCAATTCCTGTTTCCAAAATAATCAGTTTCATTTTAATGGAAGGGACACTTTATCACACACATGCACACACGGCACACAAATAAAAGCATTTACTCTACATTGTTGAACTCTTGGTTGATTCACAAATATCACTTTTAGATAATAAGATTCAGTAGCTGTTTCAAAATAGCACCACATGGGGCTGGGGTCATAGGTCAGTGGTACAACACTTGCCTCGCATTTATGAGGCACTGGGTTTGATCCTCAGCACCACATAAAAAAATAAATAAATAAAGTTATTAAAAAAAAAACACAGCACCACATGATTTGTAGCAGTACAATGGAAATACAGGCAATCACCAGCACTCCATGGAAAATTCTAGGAGGCTTAGTCCTCAATGGTTTATAGCTTCCGTCCTACTTGTTCTTTTACCTCCTGGTCTTCCCTCCCTGTCTCCATGAATCCTAAGTCAAATTCTTCTCTGGCATGTCTCCAAGGCCTGTGCCCCTACCGAGTACACTAGTCTCCCTTTCCCCCAAGACCCTATTTTTAAGGCAAGGGCTTCTTTCTGTTCTTGAAACTAGGAAGAGAAAGACTTTAAGTTTCAATCCCATAAAAAGGATCAAAATGGATCAATTTTGTTTTAGTGACTCATATACACACATAAATAATAACTAGCTGGGTGCAGTGACAATACAAATTTGAGGACAGCCTCAGCAATTTAGTGACACCATAAGCAACTGAGTGAGACTGTCTCAAAATAAAAAATAAACAGTGCTGTGCATGTGGCTCAATGTTCAAGCACCCGTGGGTTCAATCCCCAGGGCCAAAAAAAAACCACAAATCTTTAACTGATTTCTGTATACTGTATCTAGTTCTATATACTCTATCCAGTTTCTACTATGTATCATTTATAGTTATATGCTTAATGAAATAATACCAAATAAAAATGGCAAAATATAAAATATGTCAAATATTTTCCTTTGTTTCCACATGTTCTTTGTTATTCTTTTATAAAGTTCACTTAATGACTGTTGCACAATATGAATGAACTTAATGCTACTGAACTATATATTTAAAAATGGTCAGAATGGAAAATTTTGTCTTTTGCCACAATTTTTAAAAATAAAAAAAAAATGAATGCAAAAAAAGGAGAGGACAGTTAATATTCCATAAAGTAGGAATACTACAATTTCTACTTCTTGGGTTAGACAGCTTCTAAGAACATCTTTTATTATTCTGCTAACTTTTCTAATCCCCTTTCTCAAAACATGTGGAAAACTATTTAAATAAGATCATTAAATTCACTAAAATACTTTAGTCATAAGCACCCTTTCTTCATAGACAGTAACATTATAAAATTTGGGTCATATTCTCATTTCTCAATTTCCATACACTTCAGTACCAATTTCTGTTACTATTTTTTTTCTTTCTTTTTCACTTTTTTTTTTTTTTAATAGTATTGGGGATTAAACCGATCAGTGTTTCACCACTGAGCTGCATTCCCAGCCTTTTTTATTTTTTATTTGGAGATAAGGTCTTGCTAAGTTGCCAAGACTGGCATCAAACTTGTGATCCTCTTGCCTCCCAGCCTTCCATTAGTCACCTGGTAGGCATCTTGGTTATCAAATTGACTGTCCCGGTATCACAATGCTTATGTATTAGGAATCCTTATTTTACTTAACAATGGCCCTAAAATGTAAAAGTAGTGATGGTGGCATTTCAGATAAGCAACAGAAAAGCCATAAAGTGCTTTAAGTAAGAAGGTGAAAGTTCTCAAGGAAATAAAAATTTCATCATGTTGAGGCTGCTAAGAACTACAGTAAGAATGAATCTTCTACAGATGACACTGTGAAGAAGGAAAAAGGAATGTGGGCTAGTTATGCTAACGTGCTCGGGTGAGTTATACACCTCAAAGTTCAGGCTATGAAAGGGAGAAACCACAGTCAGACAACTTATTATAATCATATTATTATCACTGCTCTATTTTATTATTGATTATTGTTGTTAATCTCTTACTGACCTAATTTACAACTGAACTTTATCATATTGTATGTATAGGAAAAAACACAGAATTTATAGGGCTCAGTTATTATCCATGGTTTTGGGCATCCACTGGGTGTTCTGATACTATCTACACTTTATCAATATCCAATAATCATCCACTGGGTGTTATTTTACCTATATTTTATCAATAGTCAATAATTACTTCAGAATTAAGGCACTACCTCCAAATTTCTCAACCGCTTTCTCCACTGCGTCGTTGATTTGCTGTTCATCTCTCACGTCAACAACACATGGCAAGGCTCTCCCTCCAGCTGCTTCAACTACAAAGGGCAAACAAACAGAAAAGCATCAGCACACTCAAATACTGTATACCTTCCATTCTGATATAACCATCCAAAGAAAAAAGTACCCTATTTTCAGAAAATCAATATAAATTACTACAGTGTTATAACCACTAGTGACTCTACCACTCAGTAGGACAGACTGACTAACCACATCCAGCTTCACACTAGCTAGGCCAACTCTATTAAAAAAAAAAAAAAGGAAGGCAATTTAAAAAAACTTTTAACATGGAAAATTTCACAAAGTACACAAAAATAACAGGCTAGTTTAAAGAATTATCATTAATATATCACCTATCTTCAACATTGCTTCTGTTTTGCCAGTTTATCTTCCCCTTCCCTTGTTTTGTTTGTTTGTACTTTAAAATAATCCCCAGCATCATTTCACTCATAAGCACTTCCTGCTCATTTTCTCCAACATAACCAACAATGCTATAATCTTGATCAGCAAAACTGGACTTGAATATTTAAGCCTTTTCTCCTGCTACTGGGCCTAGCACAATCCCTGAAAATAAGCACAATTATTCATCAACTGAAAACATTAAGAGAACAACTTGCAAAGTGAACAGAGAATAAGAGTTTTTTTAAAATAATCACACCATCCCCCACTCAGATGGTCTCCTCTCCAATTTCACTCCATCACCCCCTCCCATTCAAGAATTATTGCCTGGTGGGGAGGAGGGTGCTGGGGATGAAACCCAGGGCCACCCATATGGTAGGCAACTGCCCTACCACTGAGCTACATCCCCAGCCCTGAGACATGATTTTTAACTGAAATCTCTCATATGGCTTAGACGTGCTAGAGAAGAAAAACAGTCAAAACTCCTGCTTTCAGGTAACAAAATAAATATTTCCTTAAACAGATAAAATTATCTTTAGGGTATTTTTCAAATAGCTTATACTATAGAGACCACTGTGAGGGCACTTCATGAAATGGCGACTGTCATACTCACTTTCTTCAGCAGCAGTATAGATTGTGCCTGAAAGTTTGGGGTGTGACTGGGTAGTCTTTGCAGCAATGACAATATTCGCTCCATCCTTTGCTGCTTTCAATGCAATAGCTTTGCCGATGCCACGGCTTGCACCTGTGATAAAAACTGTACATCCTGCTAGCTTCCTACAACAGAAAATGTGACCTTGTTAGAAAGTGCAATATTTTATTACTAACCAGTATCAGGAGCTCATGCATATTTTCATAATATACATATTTCCTCTTCTGTGAAATTTTCTCTAAGCCCCTGCTGCCCATCTGATAGCTAATAACTCTGCTATACCCCCACTGCATAATGACTTATAAATTATTTATGACAACTGCAGTCTTACTGTGGTTTGGCAAACAAAATCTGCCCAAAGTAAATTTTAATGAGAAATTAATAAAATACTATACACAAACATGCATTATTTCACAAAAAGAAGTATTAACAAGGCTTATTTTTCAATGGTAGAATTATGCATAATTTCATCAGGTTCTTTGTATTCTCTAATACTTTTCAAATTTTCTACAATGAATACATAACAAAGAAACTATGTAAAACAAATAATGGTTCAGTGGATGTTCATAGTAGTGGAAACAGCCCTAATGTCTATCAACTAATGAATAGATAAACAATGTAGCATATATCCATACAATAAAAGAAAATAAAATGCTTACATAAATGCTACCATAACATGAATGAATCAAATGCATTTTGCCAAGTGAAAAATGTAGTCACAAAGGACCACATGTGTTAGGACTGCATTTTGTATCCAGAATAGACAAGTCTATGGAAACACAAGATCAGGGGCTACCTAGAGCTGAGAGTAGGAGGGTTGGGAGTTGAGAGCTGAAAGTGAGTGGAAAAGTTTTTGTTTTATGGTGCTAGGAATTACACCCAAGGCCGCACATATGCTAGGAAAGGACTCCACCACTGATCTACAACCCCAACCCTTTTTATTTTCTTTTGCACAGGGTCTGGCTAAATTGCATCCTCCTTGCCTCAGTAGGTGGAATTATAGGCATGAATCATCACACACTCAGTTATTAAAAGGTTTTTAAATTGACTGTGGTGATTTTAGTAAATATACTAAAAGCCACTGAACTACATATTTAAAACAGGTGAAATGTTTGGTGTGAAGCACATCTTAGTAAAGCTGTTAACCAACCAACCTAGAGCACAGTGCAGGGGCACATGCCTGTAATCATGGTTACTAAGAAGGCTGAGGCAGGAGGACCACAAATTTAAGGCAAGATGACAACTTGGCAAGACTGTGTCTCAAAAAAAAAAAAAAAAATGGGATCGGGGCATCATAGTTCAGTGGGAGAGCACCCCTGGGTTCAATCTCCAGTATCAACAACCAAAGAGCCCCTAGAGGGCTCTAAAAGAGCTAAGTATTGATCAGAAATACTCTGAATGCATTGACAGTTCCTATGTCCACTTCATTCTTCACATCCTTCTATCTTACATTCCTAGTTGTTAGTGAGAAGGAAACATCTAAAATAAAGTAGGATGACAAAGAGGGAAACCTACCTTCTTGTTTGCTTTCTAAGGGCAAATAACCCAGCTTGCCTAAAGATAAAGGTGAAGAGAAGACAGCAAAAGTGACAATGGCAAAGAAAAAAGTGGTCATGGACAGGCAAGCATGTTAACAAAAGAAGGTATGGCTCCTGCCAAGCCCTGGAGGGTGGCTTGCACTCCTCAAGTAGGACAGCAGAGGTGAAAGGAGGAGAGGTTTTTAAATAAGGAATAACTATTTGATGAGAGGAAAGCAGAAAATGGGAGAAGGCAAAGGTAGAGACAGTTTCTGGTAAAATACAGCAAATATACAAAAAACACGTAAAGTGAATGTGCAAAGCTAAAAGAACAAAATGAAAATGAATGGTGGCATAACCAAGAAAAAAATATTGCCACCACCCTAGAAGCCAACTGTCTGTTTCTCTCCACTCTATCCTCCTTCCTTCTCCCACCCCACAAAGTAAAAACTACCTTAAATATTATCATTCTTCCCTGTTGTTGTTGTTTTTGTAATCATTTCTACTATCTGTGTATCAATCTCTTAACCAAGGGTCAGCAAATTATGGCCCACAAGCCAAATCTGACCACTGCCTATGTATGTCTGATCAAAGTTGAGAAAGTTTTTTTACAGATGAATATTTGTGATCAATTTGATAGAGCACTACCTTGAATACCAACTAAGAAAAACATTATCTCCCTGTTATTGACTGAATTATGTTCCCCCAAAAGACACGATGAAGTCCTAGACTCCAGTACCTCAGAATATGATCTTATTTGAAAACAGAATTGTTGCAGATAGAACTAGCTAAGATGAAGTCTTACTAGAGTAGGGTGTCCCTTAATGCAATTATTCCTGGTGTCCTCCTAAGAAGAAAGGAGACTATGTGAAGACAGCCACATGCCATGTTGTCAACACCATATGATTGGAGGGATACAGCTGCTAGAGGGGGATTACCCCTGACTGCTGGCACCGTCAAAAGCTAGGAAGACACGACCAAGGATTCTACTCAGCATTTCAGAAGGAACAGAGCCCTGCTGACACATGACTTCACACTTCATGCTTCCAGAACAATGAGAGAATAAATGTATTTCAAGGGCCTGGGGTTATAGCTCAGCAGTAGAGTACTTGCCTAGCATGTGTGAGCCCCTGCGCTTAATCCTCAGCACCACATAAAAATAAATTTTAAAAATAACGATATTGTGTCCATCTACAACTAAAAAATAAATATTTTTTAAAAAATTTGTTTCAAGGGCTGGGGATGTGGCTCAAGCGGTAGCGCGATCGCCTGGCATGCGCGGGGCACTGGGTTCGATCATCAGCACCATATAAAACAAAATAAAGATGTTGTGTCCACCGAAAACTGAAAAATAAATATTTTTAAAAAATTTTTGTTTCAAGCTACCCAGTTTGTGGTAGTAGCTCTAGGAAACTATTATACCACACTACCATCCCAAAAATAGAATTCCATTTTCCCCATTAGTAGATCTTGTGAAAAAAAAAATGGAAATTAATATGTATATCTACATAAAGCCAAATATTTACTGTCTGGTACTTCTCAGAAAAGTTCTGCCTAACCATTGTTTAAACAACACACTGTTTAGGTTTTGTCTAATTTTGAACTTTATATAATAGATTCATATATATATATATATATATATATGTTATTCTGAGATTTGCTTCTTTCAAACACTGGAGATTTAACCATGTTGATGCAAGTGACTATAATTTTTATTTTTATCAACTTATGAGAGTCCACATATGAACTATAAATTTTTTATTTATCCTGCTGCATATGGCCTTGGTGGAGGGTATTTTCCAGGTATTTTGTTGTTTGGCAGTATGAACAATGCTGTGATAAATACTGTTGAACCTATCTTCAGTCACACATGCAAGGGTTTCCCTAGAGCACATATCTATTAGTGTAACTGCTGGTTTAAAGGATATTGTTATGAATCAAAGATAACCACAAATTATTTGACATTCCTTCCATCAAGAAAAGGATTACATTTTCCCCTCCCTTTGAGTTTGGGTTAGCCTATGGCTTTTGTTGACTAAATGAATGTGACAGAAGCAACACTCTTGAACTTCCAAACCATAAAATGGTGGGCAGCTTCTACTTTCTCTTAGAAGCCAGATGCCATGCTGCTAGTGAGTAGATTAACAAATGATGAGAGGCCATGTGGAGAGACACCCTCCAGAGTGTCTCTCCACATGGCCTCTCATCATTTGTTGATGCTACTTAAGATATTTTAGCAAAGTTACCAGCTAGATGCAGCCATATGTATGCACTACATGGAGAAGAACCCAGGCAACCCAAAGAACTGTGAAAAATAAGTTGTTTTTGCCAGGCATGGTGGTGCACATAATCTCAGCAATCCTAGAGGTTGAGGCTTGAGTACTACAAGTTCAAGGCCAGCCTGAGCAACTTATTGAGATACTGTCTCAAAATAAAATTAAAACAAAACACGGGCAAGGGTTGTGGCTCAGTGGTATGGTGCTTGCCTAGCATGCCTGAGGCACTGGGTTCGATCCCCAGAACCATGTAAAAATAAAAAATAAAGGTATTATGCCCATATACAATTAAAAAATTAAAACAAAACAAAAAAGGAGCTGGGGATTGCAGCCCAGTGGGAGAGTACTTGCCTAGCATTTACACAATGCTCTAAGTTAATTCCCTATTACCTTAAAAAAAAGTTGTTTTAAAACACTAAAATTTGGAGTCATTTGTTACATGGCAATAGATAAATATACACTGAAGTTCAAGCAATACCAAAGTTCAAGCAATTTCTAAAGTGGTTAATTTTCTACTAGCAGTGTATGAGATGACAGTCCACACAACCCCCCCATCCTGCCCCAAGCACTTGGTAATGTCAGTCATTTAATTTTTTTTTTTTTTTTTTTTTTTGCTAATCTGGTAATATGAAATGCTGGTTTAAATTTACATTTCCCTGACTACTAATGAGGTTGAACATATTTTCATATTAATGGTCACTTAATGTTCCTTCTCCCAAGAAATTCCTAATAATTTGTTCTTCTATTTTTCTACATGGTTATTTTTCTTCTTATTGACTCATAAAGTCTATAAATTATATACATTCAAATATCTTCTCACTGTGGCTTGCCTTTTCACTATCTTTATATCTTTCGATGAAGAGAAATTCTTCATTTTTCATATAGCAGAATTTATGAACATTTACTTTTCATGGCCAATGCTTTTAGGGTAAGAAATTCTTCCTTACCTACAAGCATATAAAGCTTCCACATGTTTTATGGTTTGCCTTTTAAAGTTTTAAAGTTTAGGAAGCCAATCTATTTCTTCCCATGTATGATTAACCAACTGTCTAAAACTGAAAAACTTATCTTTCCTACAGTCTTCAATGTCAGCTTTATTAACTCCATAAATTTATAGACCTGCTCCTAAACTCTCTATTCTGTCCACTGGTCTACAGAGACCACACTGTCTTAATTATAATAGCTTTATTATTCTTGATAACTGATAGGGCAAAAAATTCCATTTGTTCTTCTTCAGGGGTTTCTTGGCTATACTTGGACCTCTGCTTTTTCACACATATTTTATCTATCTACACAGCAAAATTAGTTGGGATTTTGATAGAAATTATATTA